AGAAATAGAAGCCCACAAATCAGCATTCAACCCATGGTCGAATCAAATACAAGCTATCTACATCAACCGAACACGTATGCCTACATCGATTTTTCGTTTCACAATAACAATCGTGATGAAGAAAATCACGAGATACCGAGGTATAGAGATGAGTTCATGACAACAATCCAAAAGGGGCTGCCAAAAAGATTGGTTCATCTTCTGTTTGCAAGAATGTATCCGGTTCGCAATCCGAGACATACACAAATAGTGCATTGTTATGAAGAAAACAAGGTTAACTAAGAGAAGGTAGGCAATAACAACAGTACTTGCTTATTTGCAAACAAGAATAATTTATTGGAATCAGTTTACATATATGAAGGAAATCATTCCAAGGGACATGCTTTCTCAAATGCTTCCTGCTCTTTGCGACATAAATCGAACTCATTCGTATTGTAGTACATGCAACCGACATAAGCATCCATATCTTTCGTGCACCTTTGATGAAGATCTTTAAGCCTGCAAGGAGGAGAAGCAGCCTCTAGGTTCAATGTTTTATAATTTTATTACGAAACCGAGTTTTCGTTGAACAATATAAAAGAATATACACGCATTCAAAAAAAGGAGACCCGAAAACTACATAAAAGGGCTCCATCCAACATAATTTATCCAAGATTATATTACAAAAAATAACAGAGTTACCAAACTCCACAGGAAGACATTAAATCTCACATCCCAAAACGTGATCTTTCTGTATCTAGGTGAATTATTTCAACAGTAAGGCTGTCAATTTGAAATTGATAAGATTGGTGCGGCAAGTGAGAGAATACAAACAAAAGATGTAATGAAAAGATGTCTCACTCACAAAATATCCAGCTAAAAAGTGACAAAAAAAAGTGTTAAAAAAGATGACGAAATTGCAAAAGACGAGCAAGTAAAGATCAGTCAGAGTCAAAGATTACAAAATATCGACCAACTAAAGAAAAATGCATACTGTTCCTTTTTTTTTTTTAATAAACTATCAAACGCATTGTTGATAACTATTCAGTAGCAGTCACAAATCTGAAGTGCGATGGTTATTGAAACAATAATTTGCAATTCAATATATCTGGGACTCAAACAGAAAAGGAAAAAAAATTAAAAAAAAAAATCTGGTATTTATACTGAAATTTCATTCATTGAATTTTCTGTACATTATAGATCAGTTTAGGGATTTACAGCTCATCGTACCAATAATCTTAGTTTACAATAGACTGCCCCCTTGACTCTGGGGTCGACTCTCCACCCTTGTTGTGTACATCATTTATATTTCTTGTTATCCAATTAAAAATAATAGTGGGTGTACTACATCATAGATATCAAAATCAATATAATGCCCATAATCCATGCTGCAGTTCAATTTGTCGAGGAAGAAAAACATTGGAAACAAAAACATGGACTATCAAAACGACGACCCAGATTTTTTTTAATCTAAGAAACCTAACTTTCATAGAGAAAAATGAAAGAATTACAAGGACATACAAAAAAACAAGCCCGAGAAATTTTGAAGATCGCATTCCAAAACCTCACCAAACCTCGTCATCATACTACTGGTCGAAGATCCTATGATTACTATAAACTATTAGTATTCAAATATGTAACCATTTAATGAATCACAACATCCATGGCTCAGTTGGTTCAGTTGAAGATTATCTTTTTTTTTGTAATTCAGCTAATATCACCTCTCTTCCTACAAGATAGATGGAGAAGAAACTCCTCAATAATCTCATTTGGGTCTCTATGGTGGTCTAACTGAAATTCGAACGCCTCCAAAAGATAACTCTACATCAAATGCACGAAGTCACATCTCTAAAAAAATATTATCAAGGTCTTCCTCCACCTTCTGACAGAGGACACAACAAAACAGGTCAATAAACGAAGGCCACTTTCTCAAGAAGAGATAACTCAATCAAAGATAACCTATCAAATAAAAAAATTAACTTTCTTTGAAATCTTGATCTTCTAGAGAGTCGAGCACACAAAATATCTAGCAGGGGAGGGGTCCAATTAACAACATAAAAAGGGGCCACAGGAGAAGCCACCATGAGGGTTAGAGCTCCAAATATGCATATCCATCATCCCAGTCCTATAATCAGACTCCCTTATCAAAGATAGGTGAGTTGTGACATTCATCGCTCTTTTGTCATACAAGGAAAACAAGTCAAATGCCATTAAAGAGATGAAAACCCGGAATGCTGGCCACCACTTTTTTTTCCAAAGAACGAAAAAAACAGTCAAGAATGGCCATAATCTTATAACTCAATTCATCGAACCCAAGCCATCATTAGAATTCAAAACCCATAAAAAAGGGGAGCTAGTAGCCAAACTACATTCTTACCCCAAAGGAAATTAACATTTTCTTCTAAATCTTGTGGCAAATTTTGGCATGCATTAAGAAGAAAGGCTTGTAATCCTCTCGTGGTCCACGAAATGATCTTGATTAAACAAGCTAATTCTTTAGATAGAAGTTGATCTTGATTAAACAAGCTAATTCTTTAGATAGAAGTTAGCTTAATCTATTCGGGCCACCTATTACTAGGCCACAAGATTTCCATCGGTGTATCCTTGAATTAACATCATAAACAGCAATTATACAATCATCTCGAAATTTAGATAATCTTTCATCGTAAAATATGAACTTTTTTTTTTTTGTATGAAACAACTTTTATTGAGAGTGAATGAAAGAATACAAGGACATATAAAAAGAAATACCTCGAAAAGAAAGGGCTCCATTTGTGCAAGATAAAAGCTATAGAATAATACAAAAGATCTTCGAAATCAGAGCCTAAAGAGAAACATGAAGACTCACGAGGGATCAATCATCTGAAGGATCCGTCTACATACCTCTAAACCCTCTATTATTTCTCCCCCCAAATATCTCACAAAATAGAACATACTCTGACAAGCCATAAAAACCGACCATTTTCACGAAAAGGCAGATGAAGGAGGAACTCCCCGATCCTATCATTAGTATCCCTATGACATGCAAGCATGAAACCAAAGTTTGGAAGAAGCAACTCCAAATGGATCTCACAATCTCATATCTCTAAAGAATATGATCCAGGTTATCCACCGCCTTCTGGTAGAGAATGCAACAAAACAAGCCAACTAAAGAGTAAAACCTCCTTGAAAGTCAATCCAGAGTGTTAGCTCGTTCGTGTAAAATATAACAAAACCTTCTTTAGAATATTTTCCTCCGAAGAGTACAAAAGACATACTCACTAACGGGAGAAGGGTCCAATAAGCAACGAAAGAAGGATTTACAAGAAAAATCACTCAAAGAATGGACCAACCACTTGTTGTTATCAACAATATCTAAATCATTAGTATCTAGAACAATATAAGAGTAGAGATGACCGTGGGGCAAGGTGGGGCGGGGACGGGGAAGCCTTCCCTGCCTCCTATTTCAATCTCCATCTCCTATACCACTTTCCTCTATAGGCCTTTGTCTTTGTTGAGAATCTCCATAGCCATTAGGAGAGATGAGCAAGAATTTTGTTTCTAAGAGACCCTATCCCCAAACCACCGTTGCAAAGGGGGAGAGAGGTGATCTTCCACCTAACCAAATGGCTACCGGCCTTGTAATCACCATCACTCCAAAAAACAATCTCTGGCCCACTCTCAATATTACCCAGCAGAGCTTTGAGGAGATAAAAAATTAATAATACAGTGGCAGCCCATTATGCACAAAATGTATCAAGGGTAGGCATCCCCTGAAAGCAAGGAGCTTTTCCACTAGGCAATCTTTGCTTTGAACTTGTCAACTAACAGTTCCCAAAAAGAGAAGGAGCGATGGTTACCACCGAGTGAAAAACAAAGGTAATTTATGGGAAGATGATCCACTCTGCAGCCTAACTCCACCGCCAAATCCATTATTTCCACCGAGATTTGTAAAGGTGGAAGACCTCCACAGTGTATTATTTCCACCGTGCATGGTGACCATGGGGCTGAGATATCCATGGGTGACCTCATACGTTGACCATGCACACTATCAATTTAGTAAGATACAAGATTATCATCCTAAGATTTTATCACTACCTGTACTAATATCTTATGTCAACCCTACGAAATACCCAATATTTTCTTTCGAGTTTCCTGGTCCACTATTTGCCAGCGGAACAGAAGACGATCGTATGATTACTGAAGCAACGCATTTCTTAATCCCATATTTGCTCGCAGATCAGAAGACGATCATATGATAACTAAAGCAATTTTCAGGAGCAATCCAAAGGACAGCAAGCAACCATGGAAACCAGACCCGATCAAGAATGGCGAATCCATACTACGGCTAAGAAAATAACAAAATGATATTCGCTTACAGAGAGAGGACGCAGCGAGTGACTTGTTGGCCTTTGTCGAGGCATTTCTCCGGGTTCGGATCCTTCCTTTTGCACTGGAGGTATGCCACATTCTCCGATCGACACATGTTCGCAATGTGCTTTGACGAGGACATTAGCACCGCCGATGTAGGAATTGGATCTCCTGCAGCATCTACTGCGCTCGCCATCTCTAATTCGATCAATTCCTAATTCCAAAAAATAACAAAAACAACATAATAGAAATAATTTAGCGTGGTATCATCGCGAACAAAAATTTGCATACAAATCATGGCATAAAGTAAACTGACTCCTGATCAAACAAACGAATTGATCCTCGTTCCAACAAAAAAAATTCTAAAGAAACAGAAGAAAAAAAAGATCGTTTCTGAATTTGAAATTTTCAAACCTTTCAATCCACTGAGTCGGGTTCCGTAAACTAAGAGTGAGAATCTGAGAGAAATGCAGATCAGACCGAGTAAGGAGATAGCAGAGTATTAGGGTTAGAAATGCTAACTTACACGGGAACGACAGGAAGACAAAGTTGTAATTTGACTCTGATCAGAGGGCATTTATGTCTTTCACATATGTTCAGTTACAAAATTATTTCGTTTTTTTTATTCAATTTCAATAATTTCTCTATTTTTAAGTTCATGAGGGACATCCTCTATTTATTTATTTATTTTTTTTTATTTTTTTTCCGCAAGGAAAATGTAATTAGTTTTCTTTTTTCCCGGTGCTTGGATAATTAAATACATACTCTGCTTCTGCTTGCGCTTCCGTTCTAGGGTTCTTCACAGCTTCTTCACAGCTTCTTCACGCACCTTTGAACCGTAGTAAGTCTCTTACTTTTTCGATCGTTTCTATCTTCTAATCTCCTTTTTATCTTTCTTACCATTGATTCCTGCTTCTTGTTTTATTGTTAACTTGCTGAATGAAACACAACTCTGCAATCTTTTGACCAAATTATGTGCTTTCTGGAGTCGTTCTCATAGATTTGGAATTTTGATCTGTTTATTTAATGTTGAAGGTCGCTTCAGAAGTTGTTTTCAGTTTAAGTACGTTTACGTTCGTGTGGAAGAAATTCAATTACCAAGTGACTGTTTAGGAGAATGTTATCTTAGAAATGTATACTGCGTAGCCTATGAATATTGGTTTTCCTGCATCTGATGTTCTTGAATCAGTTTTTGCCTTTTCGGATTTGCTTTTGAGGCTGAAATCATGAAACTGGTATAGTTAGGTTAAGGATATATTAACTTATTAGCCCAATTTTTTGAGACTAATAATGATTTACAAGGAACTCTTGTAGTGTCATTTCTCACTTGTTATGTTTTGTGAAACAAATTAATTCTTTGAATACGAACGTTTAGGAAAGTGTTGAAATATATTCAAATCATTTGATATACTCTAACAGGACAGCTTATTCAGAAGTTGTTGTGTCTGGGTGATTTAACAAGTTGGACTAATTTGTGATACTTGTTCTATAGTTTTGCCACTCTCTTATTGAATGTATTGGAAGTAGTCACTCTAATAGGTTCTCGTGTTCCATCTGCTAAAAATTGATGGTTTCTTTGTTGTTTTTATGCTTGTAATTATCTTTCAAAGGAGTCTTTCGGATTGCTTTTGATCCAGAGACCAGTAGACTTGGTATAGGTGGACTAAGTTGTGATTCATGTGGCCACCGTAAATATTGGTAAAAGATTAAAGGTTAATATTGGTAAAAGATTTGGTTAAATTTATGAGTTTGCCCCGAACTTTCAATTTTGTGTTGATTTGACCGTTAAACTTCAAAAATTATCTAACTCATTCGTTAACTTTCAATTTTGAGTTCAATAGGTCCTTAAACTTTAAAAAGTGCTTAATAGGTTTTTATACTTTCAATTTTGTGTCTGATACGTTCTTTAATTATTCAACGTCTATTCAGGGGCATAGATACAATATTGATAGCTTAGGGTTCCTTTAGACCTAAAAATCAATTTTATATCTATTAAATCAATTGATTTAAATTTTTTTTTAATATGTTGAAGATTCGAGGAGACCTATTAAACGTTTTTTGTGAGATCCCACATTGGTTGGGGAGGGGAACAAATCATTCTTTATAAGGGTGTAAAAACCTTTCCTTAGTAGACTCATTTTAGAACCTTGAGTGGAAGCTCAGAAGGGAAAGCCCAAAGAGGACAATATGTGTTAGTGGTAGGCTTGGGCTGTTACAAAAGGGATTAGAGCCAAACACCGGCCGATGTGCCAACGAGGAGGCTGAGCCCCGAAGGGGGGTGGATACGAGGTGGTGTGCCAGCAGGGATGCTAGGCCTTGAAGGGGGGTGGATTGAGGGGTCCCATATCGATTAGAGAAAGGAACAAATGTCAGCAAGGACGTTGGGTCCTAAAGAGGTGTGAATTGTGAGATCCCACATCGGTTGGGGAGGAGAACGAAACATTTTTTATAACTGTATGGAAACCTCTCCGTAGCAGACACATTTTAAAACCTTGAGGGGAAAGCCCAAAAAGAACAATATTTGCTAGCGGTGGACTTGGGCTGTTACATTTCTAAAGTTCGGGAACTTATTAAACATAAAATTAAAAGTTTAAGAACCTATTACACGCCTCTTAAACTGAATCATACAAACTTGAAAGTTTATAGGCTAACTTGTAATTTAACTAATATTAACTTATACGTTTGGGGTGGTTGGTTCTTTAATGAAGTACCAGAGTAGGAAGCTGGCCCTCTGTATAATTTCATTTAACATGTCATCAGCATGGTTTAATTGCAAATATCTCTGCATAAACATGTTTCCTTATATTCATTCTCTTCATCATAATTCTATATTAGAGCACATCAAGGGCTAGCTTTCAAAATGACTTGATGAGTTTTTTCCCCTCATTTTGGTGTGTTTGTTAGGAAATGGGTGACAAGAAAAAGAAAGCTACGATGTTCATCCGACTTGTATCAGCTGCTGGGACTGGATTCTTCTACGTCAAACGAAAGCCAACCAAAATAACAGAGAAGCTCGAGTTCCGAAAATACGATCCTCGGGTCAATCGACATGTCTTGTTTACAGAAGCGAAAATGAAGTGAAAGGAGGGAGGAAGAAAAGACCATCCTTTTAACTTGGACCTATTCTTCTTCCAAATTTGTAGACTCATGTTTCACATTGCTAGTCTCTCCCGTGGCTCATCAATGCATTGTTTTTGTGCATCAAATTCTATGGCTACGAATTGTTTGCCCCTTGATATCTTCTAGTCAGTTCTCTCTACTCATCTATCAAGCTTGTACCAACTTAGACTTTTGACTCTTAAATGGTTAATAAATTCCGAGGTCCGAGGTTCTTGTCTATTTATTCTCTAAATTTTCTAATGGGTCTAATATATTTCAAAATTTTATGTCTAATAGTTCTTTGACAAAATTTAAAATATTTCATATAAATTTAAATTTTATGTCGTAAAGATCAAATAGATATAAATTTTAACGTTTAGGGATTAAAATTATAGTTTAATTTTAAAATTAATATAAAAAATAATTGAAAAAAATTGAATTATGTGAATTAGAATATCAAACTAATTATATAGTTAATTAATATTAGAAATAAATATAGTTAATTATGTCATAAAATGTTTTCTTTATTCTTTTTTTTTTTTTCTCTCTATAAAGTCATGTTAAAGGTGCCGTATAGACTTTAAAAATGTAGTTACACTAATTATTTAGGTTAGATTATAATTATAAAAAAAAAAAAAAAAAAACTCGTGAATTGTAAAGCTGGTTTCAACTTATATCTCCCGAGTTTTAAAAAATTTCATTTTGACCCTTCAAATTTAAATTTTGTTTCAAAACATTTGTGAGATCACACACAAGTTGGAAAGAAGAACAAACGTTTGAGTATGGAAATCTCTCTCCTAACAAAAACATTTTAAAACTGTGAAACTGACGATGATATATAATAGACTAAAGTGGACAATATCTACTAGCAATAGACTTGAGTTGTACAAATGATATTAGAGTTAGGAACCGAGTAGTGTGCCAACGAAAATGCTAGTCCCCTAAGGGGGTGGATTGTGAGATCTCACATTGGTTGAAGAAAAGAACTAGCATTCTTTACAGGGGTATGGAAACCACTCCCTAACAGATACGTTTTAAAATTGTGAGACTGACGATGATACGTAACAGGCCAAAATGACAAGGTATAATAGTTAAGTGAACTTTATTCTATGTAGGGAGACTAATTTAGCAACAAGGATCGTGAATCAACGAAAAAGTAAAATATTACCGAACTTTGAAGTCACCTCCCAAACCTAGATGACAACCTAACCACGGCTATGACTCTTAACCGCACCGTGCCTACAACTCTTTACCTAAACTCAACTAGTTCTAGCTCCGTTTCCTCTCCTACTTTCGAATATGTGAACTTTCAAATTTTTATTAATTTAAATTTAAAAATAAAAAATATCCCTAAGCATTTTTTAATTTTTCTAAAAAGAATATTCAGGATATCATTATTAACGTAAAAATTTAATTTTTTAAAAAATAATAATTTTGAAACTTATCATATAAATATAAAAAGCTAAACTTTTTTGAGTTTTTTTATAAAAAAATTAGTATATTATTGAAAATATAAAAATAAATTTTTACATTTATTTAGCAAAAATAATTTACAAAGGGATATCTTTATCCACATATCCATTTTATGATTTCCATCCACGTGGACCAATAGGAAAAAGATCTGACATTTCCAGAGTGTTGCGATGGCGCACTGCTTAAGAACAAAGAGACCGAATTCCGAAGCAGACACCCAGCGAATACGGCTTCAAGTTGTCCCCTTCACTGCCCATCCACTTTCAATTCTATCATCCATTTCAGCCCACGCCTCGCCTTTTCATTCGCCTTTACATCTTTTTTTCGTTAAATTAATTCTTCCACTTTCACTCATCACTTCCCTTAGTGGCAAAAACAGTTCATTCAATTTCTTCTTCACTTTCTCTCTGCAAGACACGTAGAAGATCAGTGCATTGCTTCTTAATTTTTCTTTTGCATTTTTCTCGGATTTCTTCACTTGGGTTTTGCTTGAAGCGATTGGAGTGGTTTGATTTTCCAGTTTTGGTGGTTTTTGAGCTCTAATGGCTCTCTGTACGCTAACGTTTCCTGCTCATGTCGGCCGAGTTGCAGCGAAAGAACACGATGGTTCTCGGTTCTTGTCGGGGACGGATCTGGTCTTCCGCTTTCAGAAAAGAGTCAATCAGGTATTGTTTAGAAAAAGGAAATTGAAAATTCTGCCCACCAAGTGTTTTATGAAAATCCTAGTGAGAAGAAAGGAATAATTTGTAGACTTCTTCAATTGAAAATTGGAAATTATGGCTTTTCTTCACCTTTTCCATTGGTCTTCCGTTTTCAGAAAAGAGTCAATCAGGTATTGTTTACAAAAAGGAAACTGAAAAATTCTGCCCACCAGGTGTTTGATGAAAATCCTAGTGAGAAGAAAAGAATAATTTGTAGACTTTTTCAATTGAAAATTGGAAATTATGGCTTTTCTAAACCTTTTCCATTGATGTTGTTCTTTAAGAGAGTTACATCTAAAATGTTCCTTTCACTTTTTTATTTTGTTATTATTATTTGAATCTTGACCTTCTAGTTTGATTATTTTAAGTTTATAAACAAGATAAGTAAGTTTGAAAGTTGTGGCGTGGGCGTTTGCTTTTTTGTTTTGATGCAGGTCAAGAAAAGGCCAGGTGGGATCTGTGCATCACTTTCAGAGACGGGGGAGTATCCTTCACAGAGGCCACCAACTCCTATTTTGGACACAATAAACTATCCAATTCATATGAAAAATCTATCCATCAAGGTGAAAACTAAAAACCCAAATCATAAACATAAAATCAAGCTTTCCACTTTCTTTCTAAAGAGAAAAGAGTTTTTGAAACTCATAGAACTTTGTGATAGTTCATTAATATGGTATTAGAGTAGATATGAACTTTTGGAAGCTTCTGGGTTTGAACTCCTGCTTGATAATTACCTATGTGGTCTTGAACTAATTTTTTAAACTCTCTGAGCCCATCGAGAGGCCCGCACGATGGGCTATTAGCTCAATGGTGGAGCATGCCCCTGATAATGGCGTCGTTTGATACTCTTCGAAATGTTTGATTTCTTCTTGGGGTATCGTTGACTGGTGCCTTTGCCAACTAGCTGATGAATGCTAATTTTTGAACTCTGAAAACGTGTTTACCCTGTTCTAAACGTTTGATTTCTTCTTGGGGTATTGTTGATTTAGGAGCTTTATCAACTAGCTGATGAAGTAAGATCTGATGTGATCTTCAACGTTTCTAAAACTGGTGGTCACTTGGGTTCTAGCCTTGGCGTGGTGGAGCTCACGGTGGCTCTTCACTATGTCTTCAATGCCCCACAGGACAGGATTTTGTGGGACGTTGGTCATCAGGTGCCAATTCTTCTTGTACACTCTCTTGCTATGTTGGGAAATGTTTTTGTTTAAATATGCTTTGAATTGTGTGGCGATTGCAGTCTTATCCGCATAAAATTCTTACTGGAAGGAGGGATAAGATGTCGACTATTAGACAGACAAACGGGTTGTCGGGTTTCACGAAGCGGTCGGAGAGTGAATTCGATTGCTTTGGCGCAGGACACAGCTCTACCACCATCTCGGCAGGCTTAGGTAATTTGCTTTTAGATCCAACTGAGAGCTGAAAAAAGATGGTTTTGTTTGAAAGTGATAAGATCCTAACATAATCTCATAACCTCAGCCACGGCCCCTGTGTGAGATCCTATGTTGGATAGAGAGGGGAACGAATCATTTTTATAAGAGTATGGAAACCTCTTCTTAATAGACGTATTTTTAAAACTTTAAGGGGAAGCTCAAAAGGGAAAGCTCAAAGAGGTCAGTATTTGCTAGCGGTGAGCTTGGGCTGTCACAAATAGTATCAAAGCCAGACACCGAACGATGTGCCAGCGAGGACGCTAGTCCCTAAGAGGGTGGATTGTGGGATCTCACATTGGTTGGAGAGGGAACAAAACATTCCTTATAGGTGTGGGAAAACCTCTCTCTAATAGATGCGTTTTAAAACGTTCCTTACAATATCCGCTATCAATAAGCTTAAATTGTTACGTCCTGTCTGATCTGAAATATGTTGTTACATAAAACAGGGTGTTACAGTAGGAGTTGGTTTTTTTTTTTTTTTTTTTTTTTTAAACATGGTNAAAATTAAAAAAATTAATAATTTTTTTTTTAATTTAGTCTATTCTATTTAAATAATTTTAAAATTTCTCGTTTGTTTAAAATAATATTTTGAATTTTACTTTGAATGTTTTTTTAATCAAATTTAGTAAAATTGTAATAATCCTTTTATGTTGTTTTTTTTTTTTTTTTTTTTTTTTGAAACATGGTCTAATTTGTTGAAAATTGTGTCTCATAACCATTTTAGTTTTAGTTTTTCTTTTTATAAAAATTATAATCTTTTGTTTTCTTATCTAGTTTCTAGAAAACAAAAAAAATTAAATCAAATCAAACAAAATCATAAAAAACTAAAAAAAGAATCTTTCTCAAATTCTTATATTTTGAAACTTACCTAAGATTTCAAAATATTTGTGATGACCGCTCACAAACAATGAACTTCACCAAGAAGTTTCTCAGCAACTTCTATGTTGTAACTCAACAGGAATGGCTGTGGGAAGGGATCTCAAGGGAAGAAAGAACAATGTGGTTGCAGTTATAGGTGATGGTGCCATGACTGCAGGGCAAGCTTATGAAGCCATGAACAATGCAGGCTACCTCGACTCCGACATGATTGTTATTCTTAATGACAACAAACAAGTCTCTTTACCGACTGCAACTCTCGATGGGCCGGTACCGCCCGTCGGAGCTTTGAGCAGTGCTCTCAGCAGGCTGCAGTCAAACAGGCCTCTCAGAGAATTGAGAGAGGTAGCCAAGGTAAGAAATAGCGAACCAAACCAAACCAAACCGAACCGAACCAAACCATCCCCATCCCGCCTTGATCCTTCAATCTGAATGAGTTTGAGTTTACTTTTCCTTTTTTCCAACGTTGTTTCAGGGTGTCACGAAACAAATTGGTGGCCCAATGCATGAATTAGCAGCAAAAGTTGATGAATATGCTCGTGGAATGATTAGTGGTTCTGGCTCAACGTTATTTGAAGAGCTTGGGCTCTATTATATCGGCCCTGTTGATGGTCATAACATGGATGATCTTGTTTCCATTCTCAAGGAAGTTAAGAGTACTAAAACCACCGGTCCAGTCCTCATCCATGTTGTCACTGAGAAAGGACGAGGCTATCCATATGCAGAAAAGGCTGCTGATAAGTACCATGGTAAGTAAA